CACAGAAATCGCATAATTTACAAATTTACAATTTTTTATTCAATAAATTTTTTCTAGTAGAATTTGTATCTTTTTTTACTCATATTTCCACGTAAAACGATAAAATGTAATAGCAATAAAATTGTTATATAATATATCGTATGTAATTTTTTTTTTTTTTTTGTTAATGTAGCCCTTGATGAAAAATTGAAAAAATATATGACTTACATAGTTAAAAAGGTTACAAGTAATCGTAATTATTGTGAACATCTACTACGATATATAACTAAAAGGCCCTAATAGATAATATTTCTTTTTACAAAATAATCTGTATCTTTAACCGTTGAATGTTAAAATTAAAAAACAAAAATTACAAAAAAAAAAAAAAAAATGTAAAATAAATAGAGTTTAAAATTTAACAAAGGAGTTATTGACCTGTTCTCTTTAGGTTTATAGGTTTGATTTTTATTTATTACCCAACACTTCTCAATATATGGATAGAGATTTAAGTAAGTATTTTAAAAGTCGTGTAGTAAATAGTAATAAATATTGACTTCAATAAATTAAATATTAAATTATATTGTTATTTTTGTAACTACCTTAGCATACTTGTGTAGTTACAAATTACAAGATACTCTTTTACAGATACACTTGTACAACTGTTTAAAGATGTTACATATTTAAATATATTTTGTTAAACATAATTATGTTTTCTATGTTACATAATAGTTATATTTGTTAATAATCAATAATAATTAATATAATTAACGACTCCACCACTAGAAATTTTGAATTTAAATTATGCTATTCGTTTGCGATAAGTATTTTACAATTTGAATTTATTTCAATAAATATAATTATTATTTTTATGTACTTATAACTGTATTATTGATATTAGTTATTTTGTTATTATTAATAAAAAATTGTCAATAAAAAAATTATATAAAATAAATAAAATATATTTATATTTAATAAATCTAAATAATAAAAGTAGTGTACGAAATGGTTTCGCACAGCTTGAGCCATATCACTTGATCTTTCTCTTAATCGAGTAGAGGTTGAAAAAGCATTTGAAGTTTGATTTATGATGTCCTCTGTTGATTCTCTCTCATCAGTAGGGCCATTTGCGGTAGTTCTAATAAAATTGTGAAGGCAACATGCGGCTTTGATAACGTGAACAGCAGTTTCAACATCACACTCAATAAGCCTAAAAAATACACGCCACTTTTGGGCTAAAATCCCAAAAGCATTTTCAACGACTCGTCGAGCTCTGCAATGCTGTTTGTTATAATTTTTTTTTCTAGATTTTCAACAATTGCTTTTCTTGGGAAAGGACGCATTAAATATTTGTAACTTAAATCCTTCATCACTTACAAACACATGCGGGACAGGGGTATCAGTCCCAGGTGAGGGTTTTGGTGGCAAAATTGTTTTATTATCAATAAATTCACGATAGAACGAAGAATTCTCGAATATTGCACTATCATTGTGTCGTCCATAGCTACCAATATCAACAATAATTATATAATTATAGTAAGAATCAACTATGGCCAATAGTACAATTGAAAAATAGTTTTTATGGCAAAAATAACTTGTACCACTTTTATTAGGGCATTTGATTTCTACATGCTTGCCATCAATGCTCCCTATGCAATTAGGAAAGTTCCATCATTCTTTAAATCCAATTTCAGATTATCTCCACGTATCTTCAGTGGGAGTGACCAAATAAATTAGCTGTAGAACATTCCATATTTCCATACACACCTCTTTAACTATGCTGGAAACTGTAGTTCGCCCAACACGAAATGAAAAATAAATTGTATGATGGGAATCCCCTGTGGCCAAATACCTATAACAAATTAATACATATAACTACCCAATTCAGACCCCTAATAATAATAAACAACAATAAACAAATAAAAATGTGCATATAAAAATAAAAACTATCGAAAACTTATAAACTTTTCTTTAAAAATGATTGATTCGTTTTCTTTAACTGAAGCTGTGAAGCTAAAATGGAAAAATTTGAGGGATTCATATGTGAAGTATCTTAAATTCTTGAAGGGAACTACTGGTTTTGCAAAAAAATTCAAAAATTGGCCTTGGGCAGTGTATTTAGAGTTTCTTCGAGATACAGTTACACCACGACCAACTGTGTCAAATATACCTCAGTCAAGTGAAAGAGTTGTTCATGAGGAAGATGATAGTAACGAGGATGGCTGGGTATCAGAGGACGGTAATCAAATGCCACCACTTCCGAAAAAAGTCAAGTCAAAAGTCAGTTTAGACGTTGATAGTGTCATAAACAATCTTGAAAATAAAAAAGAACTAAAACAAAAAAATAACCTCGACCGTATCGACAACCTTTTTTTTGAGTTATGCAGAGACATTCAAAAAATTGTCTCCAAGAACACAGGCTGTTATGAAAATGGAGATGGCTCAAATGTTTGGCCGAGCTGAACTTCGAGAAATTTATGCTCAAAATCAATTTCTCCATCAAATTCAAGTAGTTCATCATGGCAATTGAACCAAACCTATAATAACAATTTATCCGGAGAAACAAGTAATATTTATTCTACAAACAGTCCACCAAAGGAATTTAATTCAACTTCGGATTCGGCAAAAGAATGGTATGAACACTTCAAAACTTAATTTATTATTTTGATATAAATATATAATTTAAAATGTAAAATGTAGTAAAAAATTATTTAATAAATAAATACTGTTAGAAAATAACGATTATTTTTACTTACCTCAAACAAATTGCTAACCTTTCCTTTGTCCCTATGGGTTTCCTCCAATTAGTAGTCTGTTTCGATATTTTATTATCTAAAAGAGTATGTAAATTCTCCAAATGTTCTCGAGACATTCGAAAATATGTAAAAGATCGGTCTTCAAAAGAACTCAATTCACAGCATAGTCAGTGAAAATCCCCGAATTCTTTCCTTTTTTGGTTTATTTCATGTACCCATTTTCTTTTTTTTCTTCTTACTTGACTTAAGGCAAGTAGAAGTAGCAATTCTTCTTCATCGGAAGAACTACTTGACATTTTGTAATATTAAAACAAAAAAGTGAAAAAGTAAAAATAAAAAATAACTAGCAGTACACTTTAGTGCAGTTTTCAAACTGGTTCGCTCAAATAGCCCGCATTCTGTTTGACTATCAGTGGACCGGCGGACTAGTACGCGGCGGACCGGCGGCCTGGCCACGCGGACAGATCGCTTTCTGTTTGACCGGACCCTAAGTGATTATATCGTATTATCACAAAATATAAATATTAAAACATAATATAATAATCTTAAAATAAAAGTAATGATTTTCATTTTTGGGAGTTGAAATGGTTGTTCAAAAAGAGAATGCCATCTACCTTATTGTCACCAAGACAACTACGCTCTTCTATTACCCTTCCGGTAACGCTAAATGACCGTTCACTGCCTGCCGGAATGGCCAGAATTTTGAAATATTTTGAAAATAGACAATAGTGAAAAAATGTGTTTTTAATTATTCCAAAATTCCAAAATGTTATCGTCTTAAACTTCAAAGTATTTGTTTTTATAATCTTCAACCTCTTTTTTGTACTTAGGATAATTTCTTGATTGGTCTGTATCATTCTCGTCATCTTCCCATTAAGAAAAAGTGGAGTTTCCTGAAAGATTAGAATTTCTTGCTGTACTGTTGTTCACCTCTTGAAGATTAGTATGTCTATTATCTTCTTCCAAATCGATTCGCAAAAGTTTCAACTCCATATTTCCAATAATTCGAGCTTTATCAGTTTCAGAAAACATTTTTAAAGGCTTGAATTTTGGGAATAAAATACGGCTATTTCATTTTCTTGTACTAGTTTGAATTTTGTGTCCATAAGTTCTGATACTAATTCTAATAACCTAACCACGATAACCCTATACCGTTCCTCCCGGCCGTGCCTAGGCGAGACCAAGAACCGCCCGCCAGGACCTTCTCAGTGATCAAGGCGTCCCATCTCCAACATAGGCGTGCGCAGACTTTGACCGCAGGGGGGGCCCTTAAACATTTTCCAAATATTCTTGTACTAATGAATACTGATATAATTAAATATTTAATTGTTATTTCATTAATGTCAATAGGTATACAAATATAAAAACTAATACAAATAAAATATAAAGGTATTAAAATACATAAAAATAATAATAATACATAATTATAATAAAAATAAATAATAATAATAATTTGACACTGAAACAGTATAGTCATACCTAAAAAAAAAATTAGCATAATTTACACAATTTTTATACAAGAAAACCTTATTCACATAGCTATTTACAACTCCATCCTTCTGTCCACGGGAGTAAGGTTTTTGAATGTATCAATTACATCATCAATGTTTATACCATAAGCAAGTTCTTGCTCAATAAATATTGTAAGCAGACTATCCAATCGGTCCTGTCTCATGGTACTGCGTAATTTAGTTTTCACAATACTGAGCTTGGAAAATGACCGTTCGCAAGAACAGCTCGTTACTGGTATAACCATAAATGTTTTCAATGCTTTAAAAACATTACAAAATATAGTTTCCCTTCCGTAGTTGGATTGTGTAAGCCAATTTATCCAATCACCGCATTTGTTCTTCTCGCCTTTCGGTATATTTTCTGTATGTTTAAGAAGATTAATTTCTGTTTTCAACATATCAGAGTTTAAATCAAATGCTGCGGACAAAACCGTAATGTCATTGCTATTTATATTTAAAATTAATAAATTTCCTATGCTTCTAATCATATTTATTGTTTCTTGGTTAAATCTAATATTAATTCCACTAATCATATGATCCAATGTCGAATAGTATACAGAAACCTTCATTTCTTCTTCTTTTGAAGACATATAGTACTGTGTACTACTCGAACAGTCAATTTTGGTGGACACTTTTCTTTTTTTCAGTTGTGGAATTTCAATATCATAATTTTTACACATTTGAACAGTTTTATGATAAATATCTGTGAAATCTTCTTCAGTGTTTCTCATAGAAACAAGGAATTTTTTTTAATGACTCAATGATTTCTAAAGCCGTTAATAAGTTTATGTCGGATGACTGTAAAAAAAGCACTTGTTTTTAATATTGAAGATAGAATAGGATCTAACATCAACATGGCAAAGATAAATTCAAACGTTTTCATCTGATGAAGAATTCCTTTGCCTTTTGCTCGAACATCTGATTGTTTTGTATTATCAACAATTTCTTCAATTGCAGCTAATATTGAGGTATAATTTTCTTTTATTGCACTAATGGCTTCTGAGCGGCAAGCCCATCTTGTGGTAGAAATTGATTTTAAAGTTTTTAACTTTGTATTTGTTAAGTTGGCAATTTGTTCCAATACTGCATGCCGAGTACAGCTGCCTTCAATGAAATTATAAATTAGTTGTATGTTACCGAAGAAATCAAAAGTAACTATATTATGTCTCCCAATAGAATCTACTAGAACAAGATTTAGACAGTGTCCGTAACAATGAACAAAAAAATGAATTGTTATTTTTTTCTTTAAACTTTGCTTGCACTCCTCCAGTACTTCCAGACATCGTTGATGCTCCATCAAAACAAATTGACACCACATTTTCCCATTTAATTCCATATTCTTGAACGACATCACTCATTTTATCAAAAATACTTTGAGCATCAACCGATGTCATTCGTTTTAAACATAAAAATTGTTCAATAGGACAATTTTTGGTTTCATCAAAGTAGCGTAAAACAATAGATAATTGCTCATGATGACCAATGTCACTTGTCTCATCAGCTATTAAAGAAATTTTTTCTATCGGTTATTATATCTTGTAACTGTTTTCTAATTACTAAATTAATTGATGAAATTAAATCGTTTTGAATGCGGTTACTTGTGTACAAACAATTTTTTGGTCCAGAAATGAAATGTTCATTAAATACTGAATCATATTTTCTTAGAAGACTAACAATATCAAGAAAAAGACCTTTATGAACATCATTTGTTTTTTCTGTATGACCACGCAATGGTTTACCACCGATACATATACAAAGTATGATATCTATAAGACGTTTTACAATTTCACGATTTTTTAGTCGTTGAATCTCCTTTTGGCTGTTAATACGTTCACATGTTTTATCCAAAACAACATCAATAGATTTGGAATCCAAAAAAATTTGATAAAGCTGAAGAACTATTTAAATGAATCTTAGTTTTTTTGATGGACATTAAATCTAATTGTAGCTGATTTCCAATTCTTAAATCCTGTTTTGGAATATACTATTTCACTCTGTCCAGCGTTAAGTCCTGTGGCACCATTAAACATTCGACACGGAAAGCAAAATGCTAGGTCTGCTTTTGGACTATATTCTAGCCAAGGAAACAAATTATACCAAGAATGCTGAAAACTGCGTTGTTTATTAGCATTGCCAAATGTTGTTCTTGGGAAAATTTTTAAAACTGGCTGATATGGTCCTTTTAAAATCCTTTGTTTAAATTCAATTTGATTCTTTGAGATACTTGTTTTAGGTTCATCAGGATGTAAGTTAGAATCATATTTGTCATAACCTAAGTTTAAAAGTTATTTATTATAAATAGGTAGGTAATTTGAAATGCAATATATAATGTTTTTGTTAAGTTATGTATTTTAAAATATCTTTGTCGATAACATAGGAAAAAATAACATGTAAAACATTTTAATACTAAATATTAATATTTAACAGCAATATATACCATACATTTACTTTCAAACATACTATTAAAATATATTAAACACATAAAATAACACAGATACATAAGGTTAAAGAAAATACAACTTTTTGTTTTAACAAATAAATATTTAATCACAAATTTTAACTCATGTACTAACATTTAACAATTATATACCATTATATACCATATATTTACTTTCCAACATAATTAAAACATTTATTACTAAAATCCATCAACTATATTAAATACATAGAACTCAAATCAATTAGGTTAAAACAAAACAAAAAATGGTAATTTGAAATTCAGTATAAGTACAACATTTTTGTTAAATTATACATTTTAAATCTAAATGTCAATGAACATCAATAATAATACCTTCTTCAGATGTAGCTGAGTTGTCAGGATTGATATTTTTTTAAATTCACAAACTTAATATAGGTACACAAAATAAACCAATTAAATAATTAAAATACATACATTCTTCAACATTTAATTCTTGAATATCTTCAGTCAGTGGCGCACACAGGATTTTTTTTCGGGGGGGGTTGTTCTATTAAT